GGAAATGGACCTGGGTCCCCTGCAAGGAGGAGGCGCTGCTAACTGATGAGCTATTTCTCCAGCCCATGCTCACATGTTCTCTGTACATGTGTGTACATGTGTGTTTCCCGCTTAGATGGTATGGCCTCTGAGAACAAGAGTTTCATGTTCCTTTCTCTTCTTATGTTAGATCTGCGTTCTGCCACACCATCTTTATGACCTTCAGTAATTCCTTAAACTCTGTTTGTCTGCAGTTTAACTTCTGAAGTATGTATTAGGAATTTGTTGTGAGATTGAGACCATTTTCCCTTGGGAAAAATGCATTTTTCCTGTTTTTATGATCTTTTTTTTAAAAAAGGTTCTTTATAAGATGGGGCAAGGCCGTTGAGACAGAGTCTCTATACTAGTATGGCTTCAAAATTGCTGTGTAGCTGAGGCTGGCCTTGAACTCCTCAATTCTCCTTTCTCTACCTCCTAAGTGCTGAGCTTACAGGCGTGGGCCACCGCAAGATAAAAATAGTTTTGCCTTACAGATGCTCACATAGTGGAGTGGTCCCCAAGCGGAGAGAAGTATATAGTAGTTGTGCTGAATAAGGTGGATGTCTATCAGCTGGACACGGCGGCCGTGAGCGGCACCATCACAAATGGAAAGAGGATCTCAGCAGTGACGTTTCTTTCAGTGAGTTCCAGAAAGCAGGGTGGAAGTTTTGAGGTGTCGTAGTCCCTGAAGACATTCTGAGTGTTGATTTTCTGTCTCCTAGGACTCTGTCCTTGCAGTGGCTGGAGATGAAGAAGTTGTAAGGTTTTTTGACTGCGATTCACTAGTGTGCCTCTGTGAATTTAAAGCTCATGAAAACAGGTATTTTTTTTTAAAGCAATCTGTAGTTTTACTGAATGTTAATAGGCAATATTTCATAAATCTGTGTGTGTGTGTCTGCTGTCTGTCTGTGAGCAGACAACACTGAGACACGTCACATGTCTGTGATACCTGGCATGTAAGGAGATGATGGAAAGTGTTATTATTTCCCTGGATTTCATAATGCAGGAGGGGTGAAGTGACTGCGGCCAGTCAGTTTGCACTTTTAAAATAACTCTTAGACTTGGGGCCGAATAGCAAGCATATTTGAGCAAAGCAAAAATTAATACTGAGCTTTCGTTCCTGACTAAGCTTATCCTTTTTCTTCCTCTCTTTGCCCCTCCCCCTTTCCCTGATATTTTCCTCAGTAGGAAAAATGAAATCACATTATTGTGCTCCATCTCCATCTCCAAGTGCTTACAGTGTGTATAGAAGGGATAGATAGTCTCAGAGTAAGTAGATCATTAACTTGGCCAGGATCATTCCACACTTACTTAAGAGATCTCTCAAATCCAGGCCAGCTGATGCTTAATGTGCTTGGGTTTTTTAGTATAATTTTGAGAAAGGCAATAACATACAGCATTGCACTCCAGTGTGGTTCATCAGTGTGTTCTTCTATGTCTCCAATAAGTCTTAGTTCTTGCTTTCTGGGAATGGTTATTTTGAGAAACCTGTCTTTGTAAACATTCAGTCCTGCAGTTGGTGTATAGGCAATGCTTTCCCACAGTATCAGGAAGTAAACTCATTTTAGGAAAGCCGTTTCAAACGTATTCCTGACAGTGCTACTTCACCATTCTTTTCCAGTGATGAGCAGAACATCTGGGAGCTCTGCCCACGATGAGTGCTGCCACAGCTCACACTATAGTAAGGCAGTGGGTACCTGGGCGGATGCTCCGGCTGAGCTTCCTTCCCAGTCTGTTTGGTTGACTTACAGGAAACAGGCTGACAGGCCAGTTGAGGAGCCTGTCTGTAGAGCCACCACCAGCTCAGCATTGCCACCTCAGGACTAGCCTGAGGGGCTCCATTTTTACCCCAGGCACTTCCTCCTCTGGAGTTTTAATTATTTATTACTGTTTAATTGTGTGCTGTGCATTTGTGATGTGTGGGGTGGGGTGTGTGTTTGGAGGTCAGAAGACAACTTTGTGGAATTTAGTCTTTCCTTCCACATTTATGTGGATTCTAGAGCTTGAACTCAGCCATCGGGCTTCCCTGGCAGTTACTTTACCCACTGAGCCTTCGTGCCTGGTCCATCCATGTTATTTTAAAGTAAATCGTAGTTTGAGGGCTTTTAGGCCTGGTGATAGCATGATTTTCCTTCCATTTGAAACATTTATCCAGCAGCAATGGCAATGGAAGGTGAGTGGTCTCTTGGGCAATAGCCACAATCCAAAAACAAAAAGGCAGCTTAGACTCGAAGTGGTGGCTGCCCTGGAGTTGGAGAATTTTCCTCTTCTCTTCCTCTGAGGGAGCCTGAAGTCAGCACCTTTCCTTTCTGGATGTGCATTTGCTTGAGTTTCCAGGCTTCACCTTGCACATTCTTGTCTCCTAGATACTAGGACCTAGACGGTAACATGAGTGTCTGTACCTGTCAATTCAGTTTGTCTTTATGATACGGACAGTTTTAGCCCATAGTCTGGCCTGAAAACTCACTATTCGATGGGAATATGTAGCATTTGTTATATCGTAGCTTACTGTGTATTGGAAACTTTGAAAACACTTCAAACATTGAAAAAGCATGAGACTGTTGTAGTTTTATGATACCATACCCTTTGGAAGAAATGATCTCTGGCATTTATGTTTCTACTCTAGGGTAAAAGACATATTCAGTTTTGAAATTCCAGATCATCATGTTCTTGTCACAGCATCAAATGATGGTTTCATCAAAATGTGGACGCTGAAGCAGGACAAGGTCAGTGTCTTCTCCCAGGGTCAACACGCTGCAGTACAAGCTTGACTGTGTTATATTACTATGTGATAATATAATGTTACTGTATTAAAGTGTTACTTTAAGTTAACAGTGTTTGTTTGTTTAATGAGATTCGTAAAACATAGATCCTTAAGCTTTTAAAATCTCTTCTAGTCATGATCTGTATTGGTAGTTTTAAAGTTGGGGTTGCTGCGAGCTGCCTGGAGGCTTTAAGCTCATTAAGATCGGCTCAGGCCTCCTATTGCCCTTCCCATCATGAAAATGTGGCTTGCTTTTAACGCTCCTTGCTTTTTTTGTGTGCATTGGATCGCCTTTATCTTTTAAAAAAAAAAAAAATACTAGAGAAAAAAAAGAGTGCCATTAGAAACAATTTGAAAGGTCTTGATCAATTATGGAACTACCAGTAATTTTGAACCAGATAATCAAACATTAAATTCCCTTCTTTAGTTTCCTTATAGTCTTAGTTTAGTATTGTCTATTCTCAACTCTGCAGATTTCTCTATGTAACACACAATTTGTGTCCTTAGAATTTTATAGTTTCAAGAAATTGGCTGTGAACAGCCTAGTCAGATCAGTTATTAACCATGGTAGTCAGCTACCTCTAAGTATTGCTGTCGCATGCTCAGGAAAATACAGGCTTATGTCACCTGACAGGGGCTGTGTTAGGAAAGATTCCTCGCTGGGCAGTTTCGTCAGTGCAGTCACAGAAGCGCTGGTGGACCACCTTGCTGTGCATGGATACTGTGACACCCGGTGTGGTACACTCCTTCTGGCACTGACTGAAACATTCTTTTGTGGTACATATGGTATAATAAAACTTCAATTAGGATTATTTCAGTATGGAGAAAGAAAAGCTGTTATCCAAAAATTCCTCCCGGTTAAGTATAAGGTTTTTCCCTTCTGTTTCAGAAAGACCCCCCCTCTTTGCTGTGCGAGGTGAACACTGGTGCCAGGCTGACGTGTCTTGGAGTGTGGTTAGACAGAGCGACAGATGACAGAGCGAGCCTTCCTCCAGCAACGGAGCCCTCGCCTGGTAAATTCAGTCAGCCATTTGAAAGACTGAGCAGTCTGTTCTCTTGTTAAAGTTCACTGGAGAGTGAGAAACCGCCCTTAATGTGCCATCTCTTGTGTCTCTTGTGTTTTAGTACATAAAGAACAACCCAAAAAGATCAAAAAGGAATCTGGTGACATGATTAAGGAAGAAGAAACATCAGGACCTAAGTCAAAGAAATCTGGTTTAACTGGTAACAGCAAGGAGCCAGCAAAAGGAAATAATAGCCCAGTATCAGCCAAGAAGAGGAAAATGACAGGCGTGTTGGAAAAGAAGAGAAAAAAGACAATGTAACTCCCATGGCACATCCCAGACAGCACCTCCCTAAGAGAATGTCTTTGACAAAATTCTCCTTTTCAAATATTATACCTAACTTTTTCCATGTGAGAAACTAAAGATTTTCTCCTTCTGGAGAAAACATGTAGCTTAAAAAAGAACCACTTTCAGGTGGTACTTTGTTTTGTTAAATAGTAAAATTATTTTTGGCAGATGGCATTTTGTTATATATTGTAGTATATCATAATTGTAATGTACACTTTTTACTGTTTACAGCAAGTAAAGGTCTGAAAATACTGTATTTGAAATAATAGAGTTTTTAATACTTTATTTGGTAATGCTTGGGATCAGGCCCAGGGCCTTGCATGTTAGCAGGCTCTGCCTTTGCACCACCAGCCCCCAGCCCCCTCTTCCTTGCACAGACCTGTCATCAACAACTCTTTACCAGAAGTGGATGAAGGGGATTTTTCAGAATTCTGCTTCTAAGCACCTTAAATGCCATATCCTGTAGGTCTGTCTTTCTAAAATATATCTGTTTAACCTTGAAAACATACCTAACATGACTACAAGTTTCATTGTTATAGATGCCTACAAACCTACATTTCTTAATTATCCTAAGCAGTTTATAGTAATAGCTTTCAAGAACTAGAACTTTACATTACATTTTTAATGAGCTGCATTGGTATAATACCTTAAACAAGAGTAGAAACATAAATCCCTTATAACAAAAGATAACCTTAAATTTGTGTCAGTATACAAAAATCCATGCCAATATAAAATATTTGAGACTAGTAGTTGCTTTTTTCAGTTTAAAAGTAGATTCAATAATCTACCTTTTATCATTCCTATATCGCCTTTTTTTCTTTTCAGAAAGAGATTCCTGAATTTAACCTGCTTTGCTTAGTTTTCTCCCTGCCTGACCATGACCAGTAACAATTTGCAAATAACTCCCCCAAATGATGACAAACACCCATAATTGACTGAATGGCCATAAAAACCACTCACTCCACCTCTTGGGAATGTGGGCATCATGTTCTCTAGACTTCCTGTTGTCTGGGGGTGATGACATCTTTAGGGGACACTGAGACAATTGGGATAATGGTCAGGTCCTGGAGAGCTAGCTGTGTCATTTGTTGTCCCGTCTCTGTGTGATGGGAAAGTGCAGAGCTTATCTGAAGTCCTGGCTGGAGTAGTCTGTGAGGCTGGACAATCTCAGCAGCTTTGAAGTTGTTCTGGATGTAGATTTTTGGGGGAAACTGCAACAGAGGCATTCTGAGAGGCTGGATCACCTGGGCAACTTGCCTTCATTGGTGTCTGATCCTTTTTGTCTGAAAATACAGAAACTTTTAAAGGTAACATCTGCATTAACATAAGTATGGAGTGCCTGGTATGCTCAAGTCAGCTAAAGATGATTTTCTGTTTTATGTTTGAGCAGGTAAAAGACATCTGTCAACTTTAAAAGTCCATTTGCTGAATCAAAATCTGTATATTTGCAAAATTCTCAAGGTGATTATGAGACCCAGTTCTGAGTACTGGAGATGCAGACACACTAATCAGACTCATCTCTCATGCATTGCTGGTTCCCTTTATTGACTGCATATTTGGAAGGACAGACACTAAAAATTCCATTTAATTTCATTGTAGAAAATGTAAAATAAGCATCTTCTACCTCTCAGAAATACATAGATTTGAGAGAAGAAATTAAAGTCTTATCTAAATGGCTGTTTCTATGACGAAAGGAAAATGCATCCATGTTTATTTAACCTTTTATTTGTGTGTGTGTACCACAGCACACATTTGATGCTACAGGACAACTTTCAGGGATCAGTACTCACTTTCTACCTTGGCAATTTGGGGTTTCTCTTGTTTTTCCAGGGTACATGGCCCCTGAGCCAACTCCTTTCTCTACCTCCCATTTCTGTAGGACTGCTGGGATTTCAGAGGTCCACCAGCACAGCTGACTTCTCATGTAGGTTCTGTGGATCTAACTGGTTATCCTGCTTACACAGCAAGCTTTTACCTTCTGAGTCACTTCTCCAGCCCTTCCTTCTTGTTTTCAACATATTGCCATGAAGGATGGTCAGCCTGGTTTCTTCCAAGTGCAAAATTGGTCTTTTACCATGTTTGTAACTCAAAAACATTCTTTCTCAAACGAATATTTATTACCCAAATGGTAGTACCATATCTATACCCATAAAGTAGAAAAATATTAATTCTTTTGGTGTTTTGCTTTAAAAAAAAAGACATTCTTAAAATATATAGGTTAGTTTAATTTAGCAGTTTCCATAATCCAATGTCTCTCAGCAGCTATGGTTTTTGTATTATAGCATTTAAAAAATTTAAAGTCAACAAAGCACTATACAGGATCCAGACACTTGTATGTTTTTATCATTAACATGTCTTATTTTTATATTACTTCACTCTCTTTAAAGACTTCACTTTATTATTTTCAAACTATTTTTTAATGACTGTCTATACCCATTATCTTTTTTCTTCAGCACCTAGGCATATTAAAAATATCATAACTGTTCAAAGGTGTTTTGGTTTTGTTTTGGTCTGGACTTGACTTTTTGTGAGTCTGCAGCCTTCTCTGACCGTGTGAGCCAAACCTTAAAACCTCAAATGGCTAGGTTCCCTCTGCACAGCTAGCTCTGCCCCCTTGGTTCATCAAGAGCCTCGACTCATGCTGGGAGCCGCATTTATTGCCCCAGCTCTGAGAATTTCTGTGTTCGAAATGCAGCAGGTGTTGTTGCCTAGTATATCAGCTGCTCAAGTACTCTGCTGCACAGCAGAGTCTTTTAAAGGAGCTATGTCTCTGTATGCCATGAGCAGTGAGCCTACCCGAGAGGCGGAGGTCGCCAGAAATCTTTCTCAGGTCTTATGTGGATTTATGTGCCCCATGTTGGGCACCAAATGTAGCAAGCTTTCTTGTTGGACTTTCTTGGACTGCCAGCCTGCAAAAAACGACATGGAGACTCATTATGAAAGCTTGACCTTAGCTTAGGCTTTTCCCCAACTAGCTCTTATAACTCAAATTAATCTGCTTCTTTTAATCTATGTTCTGCCACATGGCTTTTACCTTTCCTCAGTACAGCATGTCTGACTTGCTCCAAGTCTGCTGGCGAAATTTGTGCACCTAGATTCCTCCTCCTCTTCCTCTATCCCTGGAAATCCCGCCTATCCTCTGCTGCCTACTTATTGACCATTTAACTCTTCATTAAACCAATCAAAAGGTGCCTTAGGCAGAGACACATCTTTACAGTGTAAATAAATATTCTGCAACAGGGCTCTATCTATGCAGCTATAAGGAAGCCATTCATGCTGGGTGCGGGCCTTATAGTGTGACTGCTTTAGGGCCACTCACACTCCTGTCTGTAACCCCTCCGCCATTCTCTGTAAGCAACCGTAATAGATTCATTGGTTCCTCAGGGTGAGCTTTGGCTTGTATTTGAGACCTTTTGAGGAGTAAATGTTGCCTAGTATCCCCAGGGCAGAAATTCTTGAAATAGATTGGCTCACTGTGTGGTGGTATTGTGTTCCCCAAAATATTGTGCACCCTAATAAACTTATCTGGAGTCAGAGACAGAACAGCCACTAGATACAAAGGCTAGAAAATGGTGGCACACACACCTTTAATCTTAGCACTCCAGAGGTAGAAATCCCTCTGGATCTCTGAGTTCAAGGCCACATTGGAAACAGCCAGGCATGGTGACACACACCTTTAATCCCAAAAAGTGAGCCTTTAATCCCAGGGAGTGATGGCAGAAAGGAAAGATATATAAGGCATGAAGACCAGAAACTAGAAGCATTTGGCTGGTTAAGCTTTTAGGTTTTGAGCAGCACAGTTCAGCTGAGAGCCATTCGGATATGAGGACACAGAGGCTTCCAGTCTGAGGAAACAAGATCAGCTGAGAAGTTGGCCAGGTGAGGTTAGCTGTGACTTGTTCTATCTCTCTGATCTTCCAGTTCACCCCAATACCTGGCCTCAGGTTTGATTTTATTAATAAGATTCTCTAAGATTCATGCTACATCACTGTTTAAACATCTCCACTTAAGATCTATCCCCAGCACAGAGGCTGACAGATGTGGGGTAGGTGGGTAACAGTATATAAATACTGAGTCACTTTGACATGTGGCTAACATGCCTCTTCTACCAGGCTGGCGTCCTCTCCTGATGGCTCTTATTTATCCTGTTTTCCCTGTTTGATTTAAACTGATTTTAAACTAGGCACCTCAAATCTAACCTCCCCCAACCCCACCTGTGCTGGGAACCTAACCCAGAGCCTTGTACTCTACCACCAAGCTAAACCTTCAACCTCACCTTTCCAGCACTGTGATTTGGCCTGTGGCCTTTCTTCTGTGTGGCTTGGGGAACTTCCTTTGGATACCACAGTTTGCTATAAAATAAAGAATCTAAGAGATGAGATTGAATTTTTAGAATATAAGAAGGGCATTTCCAGCAGAAAGGGTACGATGAAAGACCTTTACCTAGAAGGAGTAAGAACAATTGGCTAGCCTTGAACCCAAGAAAGTAAACGTGTGTGTGTGTGTGTGTGTGTGTGTGTGTGTGTGTGTGTGTGTGTGTGTGTGTGTCTGTGTGATTATACAAAGAAACAGGTTTGTCTGATTAAGACCAATACTATTCAGAAGAGAATTTGGAGAGCAGATGGCAGTGAAAGATAAGACAAGGCCACTCTAACCCACAAGCTACAGTAATAAAAAGAAAAACAAAACAAAAAACAACCCACACTGTAGCTGGAGTTTTCCTGCCTGGCCCACAATCAGGACAAATCTTTGTCACCCGCCAGTCCCACAGCCGCTCAGACCTGACCAAGTAAACACAGAGACCTAGCTTGGTTACAAACTGTATGGCTGTGGCAGGCTTCTTGCTAACTGTTCTGACAGCTTAAATTAATCCATTTCCATAAATCTATACCTTGCCACATGGCTCATGACTTACCAGCATCTTCACATGCTGTTTCTCATCCTGTTGGCTGGCAGTGTCTCTCTGACTCAGCCTTCCACTTCCCAGCTTTATTCTCCTCCTTGTCCCGCCTACACTTCCTGCCTAGCCAATGGCCAATCAGTGTTTTATTTATTGACTAATTAGCAACACATTTGCCATACAGAACATCCCACAGCACCACACTCCTGTGTGAAGGCACCAGTAGAGGCCACACCCTGCACTGCTTTTGGAACCATCCAGCTAAAGAATAGAGAGCTCCTGTGGCTTATGATGCCCAAGCCTGGGACTCTGCCTGTTTCCTGTTGCCCTTCCTCTTCCTCCTGCAGTTTCTATAGCAATTGTGGGGGCAATGTGAAGGATTTTCTTCCTTCTTTGGTATCCTGGGTATTTTTCCAGCTGCTATCTATGTTCCTGCTGGCTGGAGGAATCATCCCAAGGGCTTTCATCCTGAGGCATTTATGCAGATTAAAAAAAAAAACTCAGATGTAAACGTTTGATTTAATAACAGAGACCCTGGCCACTAATTTTGGATGTTGTCTTGACATTTCTCTTTGCTGACCACCCCACCATCTCATCCTCCCAATGGCAGCTTACATGCCAGGCACTGCACCTCCCTCTCGCGCCCGCCTTGCCAGGTCCTCAGGTCTCCTGGCTCATCAGCTATTGAGGGACCCAGACCGGGAAGAAGAACCCGCTGCTCAGAGGAAGGCAAAACACAACCAGCCCAGGACCAAGCCCCGCCCTTCGCCTCTAAAGCCCCGCCCTAGACGACGCCCAGCCCCTCCCCCTAGGCTCCGCCCGTCGCCTTAAGCCCCGCCCTTCCCGCGCGGAAGCGGCGCGCGCCGTGACGTCTCCAGACCGGAGTCCTGACCGCCCTTCATCGCTGTGTGCTCGCACTCGGTTCTCCAGCGCAGGCCTCCAGGCTCCGACTCCGGTGGCGGTGGGTGTGTCCTTACTTTGTGTATGTTGCCACTCGGGAATTGTTCCGCACGCGGCCTTCCGGCCCGCAGGCGCGCGGGGCTCGCCGGGGCACTCTGCTGAGCCCGCTTCACCGGCCCGCTCTCCGTGCCTCTAACATCCTGTCACTCCGCGGTTCTGACTGTCGCCGGACCCGGAGGCTCCGCGCCTTCCGAGAGTGCAAACGCGCTTGCTTCGGTGCTGGTGCTGCGGAGGGCTCTTCTGTAAGACAGCCGGTGTTAGTTACTTTGTAGGCGTGTCGCGTCCAGTGCAATTGTGACTCAGGTTCCCCGGGCATTTTCTGGTCCCTCGCTCCAGCCTAACAGGAGTTGAGGGTCGGATCCAAGCGTTTCTAAAAGTTCGTAAGTTGAGTGTTGACGTTTGCGAGGAAGCAGCACTCATCCTGACCCTCGGAGAGGATAAGCAGAGTTGAGTTGAGGCATAAGGCCGTTTGGTTTCTGAATCAGCAGCCAATCAATTAACTGATGAAACAGCTCTGGACAGGTGCCAAGCAGGAGCAGGAGTCACTTCTGTGGGCCCGTGCTATAGCGGAAGTTGTAGTAAAAATGCTAGATGCCTCTCCAGCATTTCTGTACATACAGTAGGAAGGCTTTGTTACTCAGTTACGTTCACTGGGTAGCAGAGCTAGGGTGACCAGAGGCTGCGTGCCCAAGGACCTCTTGCACCAACACCGAGAGCTGTACTTTGAACTCATGTCTTTCTGACTGCTAGAGGCCTGAGTGTTCTAACTGCTCTGACCACTCCTCCACAGGTGCAGGCCTGGTTGGTCTCCAAAGTGACTGAACAATGCAGAAGGACAGTGGCCCCCTGTAAGTGCCCAATGCGTAGGAATAGAATCACCTGGAGCTTCTAAAACCAGAGCATGTGACAGGAGCCTTCAGCCTGGCACAGCCTAGGGGCAGCATGGGTTGTGGCATGATCCCTGGACTCGTGGCCTGGGACCATGATCCCTGAGACCAGTGGCCACTGGCTAGTTCTGTGAGTAGGCATGTCACCCAGCCTCACTTTATTCCTATCCGTACAGTGACAGGATTTGCTGGAAATGACCCTTTTGTCCCAGCCAATAATTTAAAAAATTACGTTTCTTTGTGTGGATGCATTTGTGCCATGTTGCATGTGTAGGGTCAGAGGACAGTGTATCGAAGTTGGTTTTCTCCTTCTGCCCTGTAATGTAATCAAACTCAGACTGCCAGCCTTGGAGGCACATCATTACCAATCCTGAGCATCACACTGGCCCCATCCCATGATTTTGTGCTTCGGGTTTTAAACTTGGTTGGCACTGGCTTCTCTCTTTTGCCATTTCAGGGTGCCTTTACATTATCTCGGCTTCGGCTATGCAGCCCTGGTTGCTACTGGTGGGATTATTGGCTATGCAAAAGCAGGTAAGCCTTTCCTGTTACTCTTAAAATTGTCACCTTAGTCCAGTGAAATGTGGGTCCCCAGGGTCCTTGAAGCTTAATTTTGCTTGACTCAGGTTTGTTTTAGGCCCCTGAGTGCAGCCTGTATAGTCAGGCCCCTGGCTCTTCCTGCCCTGGCCTTTGGTTATCTGGCCAAATTGAGCCAGGCATCTTTCTTTTTTTTCTTTTTTCTTTTTTTTTTTTCTCTTTTTTTTTTTTTTTTTTTTTTTGCCTGTTTACATACAGATAGGCAGTGGTGGTAGTGATGGTTGTTATCATCCATTGCCATACACCAGATCCCAATGTGCGCTCAGCTCCTCAAGTAGGAAACCTCTTGTCTCTCTGTATTATCTGTTTAACACCAGCCTCAAGCCAGGGCCTTCCTTGTGTGGGCCAGACAAACACTGTATTGAGTCATACCTCCTAAAGGAGAGAGGGCTGGGATGGTAAGACCCTGACTTCTCTGGAAGACTCCCCAGACTCCCCCATGCTGGGAACCCTGTGGCTATAATCCTCTGGGAACTCTCATTTGCAGTTTTTCTCTGCAGGGGAGGGCGGTCTTGTAGATTCCATATGTAATGTCTGACATTACAACCCAGATGTGTGCCTGTTTGCTTCCCCAGGTAGTGTGCCGTCCCTGGCTGCTGGACTGTTCTTTGGGAGCCTAGCAGGCCTTGGTGCTTACCAGCTGTCTCAGGATCCCAGGAACGTGTGGGTTTTCCTAGGTAGGTTTGCCTCAAGCTCTGCAACTGTGTTCTGCTTGGCCGTGAGACTCTGGTGGGCATGTGTGGCAGGTTCTTCTTACTACCAGGTCACCTGCTTCTGCCAAGGTATAGGTGGGTTTCGTCGTGGAGAAGCCTGGATTGTGTCCCTTCTGTACAGAATGCAGAAGGGTTTCATACAGCATGGATTTAATTTTCCCGGTGAGATTTGTTTGAAACTGGACTAGACAGTGTGTGTTAACTATTGAGGTTTCATACTAAAGACAGCCTGCTTGAAATGTAGAGAGAAATCTCACATGTCCCACGAGGTCCTGAGTCCATGTAACCTTTTCCCCAGTTGGACATCTCTCCCCTTTTATAGTCAGTTAATTGTGTAAGACACAGACCTTGCCTTTGGGGACCATTCAGGTTCACTGGGAAGTCGGGTAATGTGACTCTGTGGAACTGTAGATAAGAGCCCTGGTGCAGCCCCGGGTGGGGGGCAGATGATGGGGGGCTTCTTACGGTGATCTTTGGCACATTTTTCTTGGACTCCACCCTGGTGCCGGCTTTTGCCAGGGGTGAGGCACCTCTGTGCCTCTCATACCCACGTGCATCTCGAACCCTCTCCAAGGTGTCACGGAGAGGACTCTGCACACTGGCTGTGGGATAGGAGGGGAGGCCCTCCTTGGGCAATCTGAGGGGAGGATGAACTGGGCTGTCAGTTCTTCCCAACCGCTTCCTCGTGGTTTGGAATGGCTGGTAGACCGCTTCTGCCCCTCTCATCCTAGCATTTTGCTCTCAAGTGATCCCACGTGTGCTTGATTGAAGAAGCAGCAGCCTCTGGTGTTGGTTACAGACTTCAGTTTCCAGGCCATCCCTTTATCCATTTCCCTCCTCCAAGGCGACTCTTCTATCAGGGCTTTGGCTCCTGAACTGTGAACTGTCTAGGATCCACCATTTGTTTGTATCCCTTCTGTTGCGGGATCCTACACATAAAGTTCACATGCCGTCAACTTTGACTCCTTTAGAAGAGGAAGGAGCTCTGAGCCCACTTCCTCTTAAGTCACTGGCTTTCCTTCTCCTTTTCAGAAGCTTTTCCTTGTTTCTTCCTCTCTCAGACATCGTGGGTCCACTCAGGCTTCGTTTTTGTTCCCTTGACTGTAGAATACTGACCCCCCCCCTCCCCGAGTCTCACAGGCCCCTGTGTCTATACAAGCCTCGCTGTTCGCTTTTCAGCCTTTGTTTTATGGGTCTGGAAAGGTGGGTGGGACTCCTTCCTCCCCTGCATGTAGGAAGGATGTGCTGACTTTTTTACTTCTTTTTCTCAGCTACATCTGGGACCTTGGCTGGCATCATGGGCATGAGATTCTACAACTCTGGGAAATTTATGCCTGCGGGTTTAATCGCGGGTGCCAGGTACTTTACATTCCATCTCTCTTTACCCAGACAGTGGATAGTTTTTCACTCCAGACGCTTCATACAGTCAGAATTTGCTCACTTCAGTGTGCCTGATCCTAGACTTCAACCGCCATCCTTTGAAGGTTGTGTATAAGTAGGAAAGGCTACAAAAGCCTTTGTGGTTGATTTAGCACTTACGTTCGTTCCTTGTAGACATGATCTTGGATTTGCTCTGAGGACTGTCCCAGACTCTCCTGCATTACTACACTGTCACAGCCTCTGTCCAAACCCTTGGGTGTGGCTGTGTGAGAATGTCCGTGCTGGTTCCCTGTTGCTTAGTTATTTGAGTGTCCTTTATTGAAAGTTTTGCTAAAAGAGAATTTTCTAGTTTTAATTGTGAAACCCAACCCAAACTGTCTTAAATTGACACGTTGTTAAGTATAATAAACACATTCTGGAGGTAGGAGAATTAAAAAAAAAAAAAAAAGGAAACAATAACAAAACCTGTAGATGTAACCAACGGTCTTATAAAATAAGAAACACAGAGCCAATTCAGAGAAGAAAGCCAAGAGGTCAGAGCTAAGAGCCTCACCCTTCCTGATTCAGGGATCCTCTCCAGCCAAGAGAGCTCTCCGAAAAGGGACCTACTTCCTGTGTGTGTATGTCTTTATAGTCTTTCTGTTCTGTCTTCTCATTGGTTGTAAACCCAAACATGTGACTGCCTCGTCACTGCCTGTATGTACCGCCCTCCAGGTCCTTAAAGGCGTTCGCCACCGCCGCCACGCACTTGCTATGGCTCCAATAGCTCTGACCCCCAGACAACTTTATTTATTAACATACAATTAAAATCACATTTCAGTACAAGTAAAATACCACCACAAAAACCTGTCTCAGAAAAATAGATAGTTGCTTGTCTTTGCTGGTTATGCTGTTTATCTTTTACACTGGAAACCAAACAGTCCGTAGTAGGCCAAGATGACGACCACTAATTGGGAGGCAGGATTCCTGCATTAACCGGCCTGTGACCTCTGAGGCCTTGGTCTCTCTCACCCTCATTTCCTCAGCCCTGCCAAGTTGTTGGCATTGGGCGAGGAGTACCATGTGCCACTGTAAGACCTGCCGTGGTTTTTCTGTGCCTCCTCGGGGAAGGGTGTTTTCTTCCTGACTGCTCTGCTTTCGAACTTCCCTTCATACACAGTTGTGAGGGCTCCACAGGCTTTGATCCTTTTAAAAAAAAAAAAGTCACCTGTGGTGTCCTTTTCCTAATGACTTGTTTTTTCTTTAAACAGTTTGCTGATGGTTGCCAAGCTTGGAATTAGTGTGCTGAGTTCTCCCCATCCATAGTAGCCACACCCCTGCTCGGGCTCACGAAGAATTGAAACTCTCCAAAAGTCCACATTTATAATGTCTGAAGAAAAAATGCAGCATATTTACACATTCTGACATTTTACAAACATAACCCGAGCTCCCTGAGGTAGAGGATGAGATTTCACCCGGGTGGCAGGTGTTGAACCTGAGACCAGCTGCTGCCTTCATTCTTGTGTGATGACATCTCACCTTTCTGTACTAGTAAACAAGGGGTAAAATGTTGGGTGTCAACACAGGGGGCCCCGGAGCCACATGTCCTGCCCGGAAGTGTGTGAAACCTCTTGGTGACATTTGTGATGTGGGATCTTTTGCGTAGGTCTACTATGAAATTATGTCGCAATGAAATACCGGTGAAAATAAAGTTTGCTATGAAGAACATTTCTCTGGTGTCTCCTTTGTCAGAGTGTCTGGGATGTAGCTTGAGATGTGGATGGCAGGACAGTGCAGAGCTGTGAGGGGATCCCGTGAACATCATAGTTAGGGACTCCCCATTTGGAATGACCAAGGAATTGTTTGACTCTGCATTGCCTGGAAGCTTGTTTTAAAAATTGTGAACCGGGTGGTGATGGTGTACACCTTTAATCCCAGCACTTGGGAGGCAGAGGCAGGCGGGTCTCTTGAGTTCCAGGCCAGCCTGGTCTACAGAGCGAGATCCAGGACAGGCACCAAAACTACCAGAGAAACTTTGTCTCGAAAAACAAAAGGGGGAAAAAAAAGTTGTGAACTACGTGGATGTAGTGGGACATGGTTGTAGTCCCAATACCTTGGATGGAGAAGCAGGAAGATCATGAGTTCAGGGTCATATTTAGTTTTGTAAGTTTGAAGCTAACCTGTCCTATATGAAACACTCTCAAAAAACAAAAACGAACACACACCCAAAATCCTTTGAGAATTTCTAAGATAGGACTGTAATGGAAACGGACTTAATGTCACATCTGTGCTTAAGTGTCTTCAAATGCAGTCTCCCTTTGTAGCCTGAGCTCCTACCTCTGCTCACCACCTTGCATCTATCTTCCAAGTGCTAGAATTAGAGATGCAACTCCCATCCAGCTCATCCTTGAACATGATTTTGAATATTTGCACCATGTTCATAACAGATAGGATATGTCTTGACATGCATATCTTTTTTTTTTTTTTTAAGGCAGGATCTTTCTATATACTCCAGGGTGGCCTTGAACTCACAATTCATTTTCCTGAGTGCTAGTGTTACAGGTATGCTGGTGTTAGAGGATTTAGCACTCTTGAATTGTAATGCCCAGAATTCTGTACAGCCGACCAGGGTACTGTATTCTGGACTGCATGCTTCTGTAACGGAGCACTGACTCATTTTCTCATCTGAGACCCCAGGTCTGTTTTCATGGCCTGCTGTAGAGTCTGCTGTAGTGAAAGGACAGGTGCTTGATGATCTGTCTTAAACACTTTAATTAGATCTGAAATGATTCGGTGGCTCCTTGTCATAGTGATGCCTTCCACAGGTAGTTGTACCAATCCGATGGTGTTAAAAAAACAACAAAAAATTGTTTACAGTTGAGTGGTGTGCTGTGGGATGGTCTGTATGTCAAATGTGTTGCTGATTGGTCAATGAATAAATCACTGATTGGTCAGTGGCCAGGCAGGAAGTATAGGTGGGACTAACAGAGAGGAGAATTGAGAGAACAGGAAGCTGGGAGAGGGAGACACTGCGGGCCGCCATCAGGACAAGGAAGATGTAAAGTACCAGTAAGCCACAAGCCACGTGGCAAGGTATAGATTAATAGAAATGGATTAATTTAAGCTGTAAGAACAGTTAGCAAGAAGCCTGCCACGGCCATACAGTTTGTAACCAATATAAGTCTCTGTGTTTATTTGGTTGGGTCTGAATGGCTGTGGGACTGGTGGGTGTCAGAGATTTGTCCTGACTGTGGGCCAGGCAGGAAAACTCAAGCAACAGTGGTGTGTGGCATAGTTCCATTCTCTGGAGAATCAGATTTAAATAATTTAGTTTGAGATCTGGTTATACCATGTTGCCCAGGCTGGTCATGTTCATTTAAGCTCAAGTAATCCTCCTGCCTCTGCCTCCCAAGTACCTGGGACTACAGGTGTGTGCCACCATTCCCAGCTTGAATATTGTGGTGCTGAGGATCAATTGTAGAGCCACGCATGTCCTAGGCAAATCTTAGCTATACATGTATGCTTTTCATTTCATTTCATTGTGCTTTTGATTTTGTTTAGCAGTGCTGAGCATTAGACCTAGAGCCTCACACATGTTAGGCAAGTATTCTACTGCACCTCCATCTCCATTACCCAAACGAGTCTCAAAGCAGTGGGGCTGCTGGAATTTGGGTCAGTACCTCCAGAACAATGAGCCAGAATACATCCCCTCTGTGTTGGATGTTCTTGTAAAGGAAAAGAAGTAAGGTAGGGAATTTTTGTCATTTTGTGGCACTGGTCTTGAATCCAGAGCTCCGTGCATGGCAGGCAAGCGCTCTGCCATTGGCCAGGCTTTTGCTGATTTTGAGGCAGGGTCTTGCTAAGTAAGTTGTCCAGGCTGGCTTTGAATTTGTTGTATGACCCAAACAGGACTTGAACTTGCAATTCCCCTGCCCAGATGTGGAATCATTGAAAATGTCCTTTAGTATGTGACTAAATACTAATCAAAATAGTTTCAGACATAAATATAAAAATAGCTCTGGAGGAACTTTAAATGCACAATTGCTAAATGAAAGTAGCCACTATGAAAGAGTTATCGTATTCTGTGATTCCAGCTATGGGGAGTTCTAGAATAGAACAATTAGAGATGTTATAGATTCTAGGGACTGAGAGTATGACTTAGTGTGGCCTAGCATGCATGAAGCCCTAGTATCCATCCCCAGCATAGGAGAGGGAAGAAAAAGGAAAGAAGGGAAGGGAAGAGGGAGGGAGAGAGGGAGAGGTCCCACAGCAATTCAAGATGCTGATAATAGGGAAAGTTGGGGGGAGATGATGAAAGGTCCATGGGAACTCATACTCTAAACCTGAAACTGCCACAAAGAAGTTGAAGCAACAACCCCTGCGAAGGACTCATCCCCTGCCAGGGACGCTTGCACACACATTTACTGCTGCTACACTTACCATAACAAGGGATGCTTGCACATACATTTACTGCTGCTGTACTAACGATAGCAAGGGATGCTTGCACACACATTTACTGCTGCTATACTAATGATAGCAAGGGACGCTTGCACACACATTTACTGCTGCTATACTTGTAGCAAGGAAATGAAACCAGCTTAAAATAACCATTAACAGATGAATGGATAATGAAAATATGCTGCAGATATGAAAAATTAAAACAAAAAATGAAATGACATTCTTAGGAAAATGGATGGATCTAGAAAGTATAATATCAAGCAAGGTGGCCCGAACACAGGCTAAAACTGCATGTACTTCCTCCGACGTGGCTCCTAGCCTATAATGTGTACATGTATGTATGCAAAAAGAGCAAGGGTTGGTAAAGTCTACAGACCTGGAAAAGAGACCGAGAGAGGGCACTATTAGGTGAGGAGGAAGGGTAGGAGTGGGCAGATGGGACATGACAGGCAGGGAAAAGGAGCAGCAGAGCGGTGGGGGAGATGGGAAAAAGGAGAGCCACAGAAACACATTCTTCAAAAATGTCATAATGATACTGAACATATTATATGCTGATTAAAAAAATAAAAAGATGAAAAATAACAACAAAAAGGACCGCAGAATATAAAGTTTAATAGTAGAAAACCACACTAGTTAACCATATATCTATTCAGAGTCCATGTTTCTCAGAAATGCCAAGGAATTTTTATTAGCTTTGAGACAATAAAATTGTACAAATACACATAACCATCAGGACTAGGATAAATTACTATTTCAAGTTCAACATTTTAAACATGTAAAATATGAACAGCTATATCTTCTATACAAAAATATATGATTTGATAATAATGTGCCTCTGGGCAATGCCCACAAAACGATGTCAATTATATCAGCATCTATTACAAAGCCATAAATACATAAAAAATATCAGCAGGCAATAACATTATTCTTTCAAAAGAATGTACAGTACTAATCATGTCCAGCCCAGCAAGTGGCAGGTTTAAAGTAGCCCTAACTTCAAAATATCTATTTAAAAAAAATTTAGTAATAAAAAGTAAGAAGAACGGTGGACTACATGAAACCTTGCCATGGCAACTGAGCGTGTTTGCCCTGTGGCTGGAACATGAAGGTCAGAACCCAGTTAGTGACCTGCAGCAGCAAGCGTTTGTCGGGGACCAGCTGGCACACTTCACCTTTGTGTCTGGTAGGAACACAGAGACAGGAGTTGGAGAGTGAGATGAACAAGCGTCAGATACGGTTTCAGAGATGACGAGAACCCTGGCGTGATTAATGTAGAACTTACCCAACTACAGAGTCTCACAGTCATCATGAGAGTTCAGTTTATCAACAGGCCTAAAATCAGACTGGCACAATCTGCTGATCTCCAGAGGCTGGAGAGAAGTTTATTTTCTGCTAAGATGTGTCCCTTCACTCATCTCATAGTTCCACATGTAGAAAACCAAAAGGTAGTTAGCATCTTTCTGACATTGCCAAGGTGGAAGGGCAGAGCCTCTGCCAAGTCAGCCCAGAAGCTTGCCTCCCGCTGGGCAAAGTGAGCAGAGACAAACCGCTCAGGCCATTTGGTCTCTGCAGTGACCAGAACCTCAACAGCCTAGGCTAATAGGCAGCAAGCAAGAGTGAAACTCTGTTCCCTTACTTCCCAGAGTCCTATCTTTAAAAGCTTATGTACTTATCTAGTAATTTGTAGATCAAATACTTAATACTTTGGCAAATAGTTTATTCAATACTCTGTAAAATCCTGCTCGAAAGTCTCAGCATGGTGCTGCACCAGCACTGCGGGCCACGAGTTAAGGAAACGCATTGCATTTCCCGGAAAGAAAACCGGAGCAGACTTCTGCTCTTGGAGGTACCCACGATCGTGTGTTTCTTGTGGAACTCAGTAGAAATAGACTGTGTAGACGTCTCCCAGGATCAGGGGCTTGACAGTCCTCTGCGGAGCAATGCTGCAGGGTTTCCACCACTCCTACCGGTGGCCTCCGTACTTCGCCACCCAGTCTGTCCTCCCGTGCACCGAGGGGACCGGCTGTGTGCGGTTCACAATATTGAGATTTTTTGCTGTGGGATTGTAAGTTCGTCCTGAAAACTGGCCTCGGCTAGTTTTTGTGTTCCAGGTATATTCTGAAAGAAATCAGAATTTCATTTATTTGGTTATCGCATTCAAAATAAAGCAATTCATTTTCATTTTGCAGGGAAGTGTGGATTTATCTTTAAAAGCTGTAGAGAAATGTGAAGGCTTGCATTTAGTTTTCTTTCTTTTTTTGGGGGGTGGT